TCACTGCAACCTCTGTCACCAGGGCTTAGGCAATCCTCCCACCCCAGCCTCCTGAGTAGCTAGGACTACAAGCACGCACCACCTTGCCTGGCTAATTTTTGTAGAGAAGGGATTTCACCACGTTGCCCAGGCTGGTCTTGAACTCCTGAGTCAAAGTGATCCACCCACCTTGGCCTCCCAAAGTGCTGGGATTACAGGTGTGAGCCACCACGCCCAGCTTTAAATTCCAAACCTGAAGAAAAACTTCAAGAACTTTGTAAGAAAATCTCACACGTCCTTCTCTTATGGACATATGAATGGCGATGGAGGTAGCGGGGGTCAGCCTCTTTTCCTGGGGGGCTGTTTCAGGGCCCCCGGGGCCACTGCAATCTACTCTCCGGAGGCTTTTGGCAGCTGTGTCTTCCGTGCTGTGTATCACCAGACCTCCCCACTGTTCCGAGGGCTCCTGGACGGCCCTTCTCCGGGCTGGCTGCAGATGGCGTGTGCTGCCAGGGGCCACGTCTCTTTAGTGTCCTTTAGTGACAACATTCCCAGGTCTTTTTCCTCCCTTTCACGAGGATGAAGCCTCTGAAGTGTCCACCGCTGCAGAACGCCCCTCGGCCTGGAGGAGGGATCATCTCCACACCGTGGGGCTCGGGCTCGGGCTCGGGCTCTCAGGCGGGGCATGAGGAGGACATCACTTTGGCAGTGGCTCCACGTCAGAGCCCTCTGTGACGCAGGCCAGCCCCCGTGCCTTGGCACTGACGCAGGCGCCTGTGGGTCACCTCCCTGGGCCACGGCCGCAAACAAAGCCTGCTTCTCTCTCTCCCTCTCCTCTGACATTCAGTTCTGAGTCTCACTGGCTGGGCTGTGGGCTGGGGCCGCACTGCAGAGCTGCCTTTGGGAGGCGAGCTGGACGCAGGCAAATAACTGAAGCAGCTCTGTGCAGTCCGAAGGCCTTGGGGACACTGAGAGCCCCCTTTCATCAATTCAGGAAGAACAAATGCACCTCCATATTTGGAATTACATTTTTAAAAAGTCAGGTGGGAGTTCAGGGTCAAAATCGAACTGGTCAACTGCCAGTATTTTAAAACAATTGGACACATTCATAATTAGACCACCCAAAATACGAGTCCCGGTTTTCATATTCAAAACTGAGGATGTCAAGTTAAAGGGAGACACCCCTGAGCCCTCCACTCTGCAGGAGGCAGGTTCTTGCGCGGAGTCCAGAAACCATTGGAAGAACCACCTTCAGCAGTAAGGCTTCTCGCTCTAGGGGTGGAGGACGCCTTCCGATGTCCTCTTTTAATAGAAAGAGGTACTTCACCTGGACACACATCACCCACTGCTCGCAAACCACACATAACTGAGGCCAGGTCCGGACATGGCCAGCGAACACGGAGGGCCAGTTTCACCTGCAGAGTTTCCGTTCCACTCGCCCTCTGATGGCGTGCGTTCTCCAGAAAGTTCCTTTATGCAGCAAACCATTATTGAACACCACTGTGTACAAGGCACGGGTAATAGAAGCTGACGCAGTTGAAAATCACCTGCCACCATCCCGACCACAGGCCAGGGAGAGGAGAGCAGAGCCAGCTCGGGGTCGATCCTGTCCACCTGGTGGAGTTTTCTCAGGCAAAATGGGCAGCTCTGCAGGCTGCGGGCCTCGGGAAAACTAGAGTGGCTGCATATGGCTGCGGGGAACACCACGGCTAGGCGCAGGCTGCCTCTCTTTCTCTCTTTTTTATTCAGAGTGATGTTTCCAAAGCAACAGTTGCTAAGGTACAGGCTGAAGGAGGGGCAGACCAACCCGGGCCCAGTTGCAACCCTGATGTAGGCTGCAGCAGCGCCGTGGGACAGGAGGGCTCACGGCTGCCAGAGCTGGGCAGATGCCCTCAGGGAACAAGCCCCTGGGGACATCATCCTCCAAGAAGAAGGGTGGGGACGTCAGTGTTAGGCAGCCTGGGTAAGATCCTTGTCTTCCTGGGCGTCCCGGGAAAACACTGTCTAAACGTTTCAATCAAATGTCATTCACTCCCAGAAATCAATCACAGAACAAACTCCAGTGAGAGCGCCCGGTTTCCGAATCCTTCACAGTGTCAGGCATGTCAACAGGTGCTTCCTGTCTTCCTCAAACCTCCTACCCCGTCGCTCAGATAATGACATAAGAAAATTAACAAACCTAAGTTGGCATTAGGAAGACGGATGTGAAAGTGCTTTTGACACCTGGGAGTAAAGATGCCTGGCAGGTGCCCGGCATGCCCACAGCCTGTGCCTTTCCTGTCCCAGTGAGGGGATTTGCTGGGTGTCCCACCCATTTCTGATGTGTTCCCTGCTGTCCAGTGATGAGCGCTTGGCGGGGGACGGCCATGTAGGGTGGGGGTGGCGAGCCTATTTTGTGATGCCCAGTGGGCAGCAGGGGCCAGGCTGTGGCCTGTGCTGGGCATCTGGTCTGATGCGGCTGCCACCCTGGAGCAAGGCCCCAAGGGGCCCATCTCCTCAATCCTGAGCCTGCAGCCCCATGATGGCTCACACACTAGGATGGATTTGGGCCGCAGCCAGCTGCCATCTCCCAGAGGCCTTCCCCACATCAGCCCCACTGGACTGGACACCACGCAATCAGAGCCTTCAACCACTGCCAGGGCTGAGCTGACTCTTCTTCTAGGCTGGAACCGTGGGGCTTGAGAGAAGGAAATTGGGACGAGGCAGGCGGGAGGGGTTAATGATATCAGGAGGTCAGGGCTGCTGGAAGAGGCAGCAGTGTTGGCGGTGGAGGGCTCTCTCCCCATAGCTTTGCCTCTGCACTTGCTGGGGATCCTGGTACTTCACCTTCCAACTCCCGTCTACCTGTGCTAGGGAAGTCTGTCTCCTCCCCAATCCTAACCCCAATTTTTCACCCTCAGGGAAACCACAGAAGACCCTGAGCCTCCGGACAGGCGGACAACCCAGGACTGGTCCTGAAATCCAGGGAAGCCACAGGGGCTGCACTTTCACAGGAGAGACAATAAACGGAGAAACGATTCCGTCTCTCCAAATCTGCCCCAGGTTTCTCAACATTTCTTCTGAAAATCACCCCAGACGTTCCCCTCCCATCAACTCATCCTCTTTCTTCCTTGTAACAGCTTTATTGGGATATAATTCACATACCATCCAATTCATGCTTTTAAATGATATCACTTGTTGTTTTTAGTATATTTACAGAGTTGCACCATAGTCCAATTTTGGAATATTTTCAACATCCCTAAAAAAGAGACGCTGTTCCCCTGGCAATGCTCCCCATCTGCCCGCAGCATCCCAGGCCCGGCACCTACAAATCTGCTTCCTGTCTCTGTGGGTCTGTCTGCTGTGGACGTTTTATGTGCATGAAATCACACCACACGCGGCCTCTTGTGCCTGCACCCTGCTTCCTCACACC